AATTTTTTAAAACGTGTGTTGTTGTTTTTTTGTTAAGGAGCCTGAAGTTCATGAAGAAGAGGAAGAAAAATCGTTCTTTGTGTTTGAGGGGTCTACTGGAGGGTGGAAGCATGCTACTTCCGGTCAGATTGAAGAAGAGCAGAGAGATAAGGAGTTGTATCCAGAACTAGACCATATGCCCGTAGAATCACAAATTACTGAAGAAGACCCTCTAAAGAACAATACCCAGGACACCCTGAAAGAGGTTTGATATGTTCCAATCCATTTGTTTAACCGTAGTCCCCACCAAAACCTTCCTAACTCCTGTTTGATAATTTCTCAGCGTTTGAAGATCACACCCAGGAGACCAACTCGCGCTTCACGACAGAGTGGTGCATTAGATCCTGAGGAAGCAGATGATGGCGCTGTCTTGGGGGATGACTCCGGGGCAGGCCGTGGTAGAAAGAGGAGAAGTGCTGAAGGCGGTGATGTCTCGGAAGAGTAAGTAGTGCTCCACTCTTCCGGCCAAAACGACCGTGGCAGAGCCCTGTACAAATTGGCCACCTTTTGCTTTCAGTGTGGAGGACGATGAAGCCAAGCGGGGGAAGCGCGCCGGCAGCAGCGAGGAGGTGGAGGACGCTCCAGAGGGAGACGAGGTAAGCGATTGTGTGCAGGGTTGTTACAAACTGGGAAAGTCAGGAATTCGAATATTGGTCTGGGAAAGTCGTGAAAATTTAGGATGCAGCCAGTAAAATTTCACCTGTCAACTGCCTTTTTGTAAGTGAATTTTAAATTAATGCATCAACAGAAATTTTGTGACACATTGTATAGGTTTCTTAGAATACTGCTTACTCTCTCGTCTAAACAGCCAGTAAAAATCGTTACATCGGTCAGTAAAGTGTCATGGAATAGTCAGTAAAACAACGTTGCAACAACCCTCTGATGTGGCGCCACTCTGTTTGGCCTGGTGAACCCTGAACTGAAACATTGTCTCTCCGTCACAGCCGGCCCAGCCGCGCCGTGGGGGTTGGCGCGGAGGTCGCCGAGGCCGCGGGCGAGGGCGAGGACGAGGACGGGGTCGAGGGGGCCGCTGGGGATCAGCCGCTACCCGCGCCGCCGTGGAGCAGACAGAGACCGAGGCCACCGACGAGACTGCTGCTGCTGCTGCTGCACCGGCCGAGGCCGCAACGCCCAAACCCACGCCGGAGAAGCCCAAGAAACCCAGACAGAGTACGTGTGTATCCGTCGGCGAGCGGACTAGGGATTTCTTGTAGGCTCTATTTTTTTTACGGGAGGATTAAAAACTTGTTCAGAATACTCTTTTTTTTGAAAAATTGAAATACTTTTTAAAAAAATTGAAATAGAAACAAAACATACAGAAAAAATTCAGCTTTTTAAAAAAAATCCCAAGAACAGACTGCGCTGTGAGCTGAACCTCTATCTCCTCTGAATCACAGGTCGGATGCTGACAGAACTCATCATGGACATGGGAAAATCCCAAGTTGAAGAAGTTGGAGAATCTGGCCGCAGTGTACGAACCTCCCGACGGATTGCACAAATTAGATTAAAGGTAAGAGATTTTGAAAAATAAATCATTGTATGTATGTAAATCTAATTTCTCTTCAAACCCATCTGTTATTCAAACACTGAGGATACATTACATTTTCTGAAGGTGTTGTTAAGTTCTTTTTTCACTATGGTCACTTTATGGATTGCATTTTTTCTTTTTTCCAAAGGAACAAGCTGAAAAGAAGGACTATGATGATGCAGAATTATCATTAAAGGACAGATTAAAAATGGAGAAGGAAGCCAGAAAGGCAGCCAAGCTAGAGAAACGGAAAGAAAAAGAAAGGGTATGTTCTTTTATTTTCCTGCAATCAATTTATTCTAGAACAAAATTGTCTCTTATTTATCATGTTGGTCACTAGGCTGCTGCTGCTGCTGCTGCTGCTGCTGATTCTGATTCTGATGACGGAATGAAGAAGAAGAAGCATAAAAAAGAGAAGAAACCAAACTTTAATCCTGGTACTAATGTGTGGAACCAAACATCTTCAGGATCAAGGTATTATATTATGTTCAACTTAATGTTATCTTTTGTTTTATTATCTGGCTTTGATTTAATTTAATCTTTATTTTAGTTCTGACTCAGAGTCAGTGGAAGAAGAAATTCATGAGCCCTCTGATGATGATGCTCCATATGTTGTGAAATCAGATCACGAATTTTCACCAGAATCAGATGTGAATGATGACGATTATGCTCCAACCAAAAGAGCAAGAACAGCGAGAAGAGACAAAGGTATGAAAACCACCAGCGCCTCTGTTCTGTTTCTAATGCACTTGGTTGTGACTAATTTTAAAAATTGCTGTAATTGTATATCATTATTTATCCATTTTTAGAAGCTGAAGCAGAACCAGAAGCTCAGGACTATCCTTGCAAGAAATGTGGCAAATCAGACCAACCCGAATGGATGCTGCTCTGTGACAAATGTGATGCTGGGTGGCATTGCTCATGTTTGAGACCAGCTCTTCTTCAAATACCAGAAGGAGACTGGTTCTGCCCTCCTTGTCAGCACGTAAGTCCCCTACCAGTCACAATTTTTTTAGATGATGAAGAATTTTTATATTTAACTTCATGTATCTTTTCTTTTGTCAATCTATAGACACGCTTGATCACAAGTCTTCAGGAACACCTTCACTCATATGATCTAGATATTAAGCGTCTGGCCTCAGAAGAAGCAAGGCGCCAATACATGTCTTTTATTGATGTTAGCGTTGAAAATATCTTACCTGATGCAGAAGTTGAGGTAGTTAAGAAAAAGAAAAAGAAGAAGTATAAGATTAAACATAGAGAAAGAGTGCGTGGTAAGAGGAGAAAGTGCCAAATAATTGAATCAGACAAATCAGATGAAGGGGCTTCAGGGAGTGATAACAGTGAAGATGAAGTTGACAATGATGACAGGAATGATCCAGATGCTGAAAGTAAGTTTCTTCCTTGTTGTCTTCTTAATAACAAAGTTTGTTTCATTCATCCAAAATAATCGCTGCAATTTTATTTTGTAATTTTAGATGATTCAGAAGGCTCCTCTGCCTCCGGGTCAGATTCATCTTCTGGCTCAGCCACATCAACTACATCTGCCTCTTCATCTTCTGCTTCTCAAAAATCCAGTGATGAGGATGAACCAATATATAAACTTAGACAAAGAGGGCAGACCAATGTGAATTACCGATTCAGCGAATATGATGACTTAATAAAATCTGCAATTCAGGTAAGTTGATTAACAAATTCTCTTTAGTGGAGACTTTTTTTTATCTGGCATTTCTCATCTAATCTGTTTCTTAAAAACTTTTAGGGTGAGATTGAAGAAGTTAAGGAGCCAGAGCCTGTTGCTGTTGTGGAAGCCCCAGAGGCGTCAGAACCACCAGTTGCTGAAAAGTCTGTTAAATCTGTTGGCAAAGTGTTAGAAGGAGAAGAGGGTGAGGAGGAAGAGGATGACTCTGACGATGAAATCAAGAAGAAACCTCAAAGGAGGGGAAAGTACCTCACGGATGAAGAGGAGGATGATGAAGCAGACAAAGGAAAGAAAGATGAGGATGATGATGAAGAAGAAGAGGAGGAAGAAGAGGAGGAGGAAGAGGGCTATGTACCACCTGTTGTGAAACCCGCACCCACTCCGAAAGGAAAGCGTAAGAAGCGAAGCCTCACTGCCCTAGAATTTAGTTCAACTTCATCGGACCCTGAAAGTGATGAAGACTTCAAGGGTTCAAGGTACGAAAAGCAATATCCATCTAACTTTAAAACCTTGCTGTTTTGTGTCTAAATTATCATAGGACTTACAAATGTATTATTTCTTTTTCTAGTGCTGAAGAAGATGATGATGTAGAATCATTTGGATCTGAATCTGATGACTCAGTTGTTTTAAGTAGGCGTAAAGGTGCTTCAACAAGAAGATCAGGCAGATATAGTAATAGAATGACACGGTTTGACCGAGAATTCAGTAAGTAACTAATGCAGTGAGCTCTTGCCTAGTCTATATTCTATTCTAAATTCTTAGTTAATCCCTAATTTATTTTCAGTTGACGATGATGACAGTGATGATGATGACGATTACTCAGATGATAGTGATGCTCCAAAACGAAAAAAGAAAAGAAAAACTCCAGCAAAGTAAGTAAAAAAATCTTCATGTTTGTACAAATTGTAGTCTTATAAAGGTCTTGGCTTTTTATTAAATGTGTGTTTTTTCTCTTTTAATAGAAAGGGTAGACCCAAAAAGCCTCCACCAAAAAAGGCCACTCCAAAGAAGAAAACTGGTAAAAGGAAAGCCCGCAAAAGTGATGATTCTGATAAAGAAGTCAAAATTAAAAAAGCAAAGCCAAAGGTACATGCTCATTACCCATTGTCTTAATCGTATTTTAGAAACATGGGACAAAATTTGATTAAATGTGGAATTCTGTATCAAATTTTAGGCACAACCCAAACGAGAGAAATCAAATTCCGATTCAGATGCACCTGCTCCTAGGAGAACTAGAGGACGAGTTGCTAACTATCGGGAAGTTTTAGCATCAAGTGATGAAGATGATGAGGTAATGTATTTCTCCCTTAATAATTTGTTGTTGGTTATTCCATACCTCAGTACTCTGTACAGTATTTTTTTCTTGTTTCAGGGCTCAGGGAAAGACAAGAAGTCAAAGGGTAAGACAATGGAGACAAAAGCTCAGAAGAAACCAATACCAGACCCTGTTGAAAAGGAAGTGACAGTAACAAAAGGTTGGTATTAACCCCCCCCCC